TCTCCTTGGAGGCGCGCGTCCGACCCGAACATATAGTATGCCCTTCTCGTAATGCATCGCTTCCCGAGAGGTGCGGCCAGAAGGCGCCCGCCACGACGTAGATACTATGAGATCTCTCGGTGCGCGCGTCGCCCCTGGGGGGGCGACGCACACTTAATATTCGCATGTTGGGCTGACGCTGGAGGAAGGCGGGCGGGCCGGCGGCGGCTGGAAGAGGGCGGATGCCGGAGAGGGGGAGGGTCGAGGCACGAGGGTCCAGGGTTCGTCCAGCCCCTGCCTTGTCTCGTCAATGTTCCACGTGATTTCGCGCCTCCAAATTCTGCACACTGATTCTGAACACCGATGCCTGACCTAAGCACTCGTTTCTTCTGTTACACCTTCACCACGGAATCGTATACTTGCTGGGCCGCGCACGCGATCGGTACCGAGACCAGCGCTCGATCTCCTCATTACCATAATCCTCGCCCTCCTCGTCGCCTCATCCAACTGGTCATTGTCATCAGCACCATAATCACCATAATCACCATCATCATGATCATCATCATGGTCATCAGCATCATCAGCATCATTGCCATAATCATCATCACCAGAAGCGTCATTATTAGTATGAGTATTATTTTTCGACTACCATTAATATTATTAGTGTTGCTAGTGCCTAATCTGAGTATCACAAACATCAGCAGCATCGTCATCATCATTTTGATCACTGACAACATTACCACCATCAGCGTGATTCTGATCATTATCAGCATCAGCATCGCCATCACTGGCAGCATCCGCATCCTGACCAGCACGACGAGCATCTTCATCACCAGCACCACCATCACCGCCATCATCATCACCACCAGCTGGAGCATTAGCATCAGCACCATCACCATCACCACCATCAGCACCATCACAATCGCCACCATCACCAACATCATACCATCATGGCCAACATCAGTAACATCACCATGATCGACATCATCGTCACTATCAGGAACAGCATCCGCACCACCGCCAGGAACAACATCCTGCTCATAGCCATCACCATCTGTATCATCGTTTCCGTTACCATACATTGTCCTTGTCTCCATCGTCATCATGTTTCATTTCCTCATTATCACCTTCCCCGTCCTGTTCCACATCCCCGACACCATCAATATGACAACCGCCATCACCACGACCATCACTATAATAATCAATAGCATCAACGTCATCGCCACCACTGGAGCATCGTCACCGCAAGAAGCATTTCTCTCATTTTCGCCATTACCATCAGCATCTTCATTCCGACTGTCTTCATCATCCTCATCAGCTTCCTCCGTCTCCGCATCAATGCCTTCACCGTATCCCCTTTTTTATCCTCATCCGCACCAGCATCATTAACACGACCACCATTGCGACCACAAGTATCATCCGCATCGTCATCACCATCCTCATCCACAGCTTCATCATCATCTTCATCGTAGCCCCCATCCTCATACGCCGTCATCATAATCACAATCACCAACACCATCGCCATCTTCATCATCACCACCCACATAATCATCATCGTCGTAGCAATGCTTCAACCCAAACCACAATACCGATAATTACCACTCAGACCTCTCCGGGGGCTCCTTCTGGCAAAGATATTGAAGCGAGCCCACCCGTGGCGACGAGGGACGGTAGCGTCATTGGTATAGTTTATTCCTCTGACCTCTTCCTCCTCTTGCCCCTCCTCCTCCTCCTCTTCTTTCCCGCCTCATCAACCCCCTCGCCAGCACCCGCGAGCCTCCCCGCCGTCTTCCTTCAGGAAGGGCAGCCGCCGCGCGGCGAAGGCCACCTGGCCCATCTGCGCCGCGGTTGCCGCCAGCCGCAGCGCGCGCCAGCACCGGGCGCGGCGAGGCGGCGCCCCGTCAAGACCTGGCCATCCATTCCCCGCCTCCTCTCGTTTAGAAAAATTGCGACGGGAAGTTTCTGGCATTTTTCGGCTTTCGAAGGCAATCGCCAGGCCCCGGAACCGTCAAAAACCGACCGAGAAACAATCGTAGACCCTGGGGAAAGAGTCTACGGGCGACAATATTTGGGCAGCGCGTCGCGGCGGCGACGTGCTATGCCCTGCGAGTGGATAGCGGGTCGCTCCGCCCCGCAGCGTGGGAGGTCGGGTATTTGTGTACAACCGTCGTCGCCCAGGAAAGCATCGCGTAGAGATGCAGCCAAAGGGCGTCTAGGTCCTCCGCGTCCTTGTGCCCAACGTCGACACTGACTCCGCGGTGCATGGTCTGGCCCTGACAGGCCGTGAACGTCAGGACGTCGGCGTGGGAGATGTCCAGACCGGCGCGGGTGACGTTATGCTTGCGCTGGCCGAACGGGCTTGAGGTCTGCAGCTCGATGAACACGAGGCCCGCCGCCTCCGAGGCGTCGATGCTGGGATGGAGCTCCGTGAGCTTCTTGCCAAACGGCCAGCATTGTATTTGTCCATGCGCGCCCACACGCCGAGCGGCAGTTGCTGCAGGTACGCAGGACGTTGCTCGGCCTTCGCTGCTTCCACCTCGTCCTCGTCCATCGGCTTGACGGCCACGTGCGCGACCTCATCCGGCGTCCTTGGCGAACCCCTTGTCGAGGTCCAAATGCTCCAGTAGACGAACGCGCATGCCCGCGACAACGGGTAGCATCCCAAGAATGCAGCCCGTCACGACTGGGTGGACCTTGTTCACGAGCTCCGCGGCCAGGTCGATGGGCAGCGCGGGCGAAGACGAATCGGCTGTTTGGACGTGGTAGTAGAGCACCTGCCCGAGAGACGCGGCGTCCCTCACCGCGTGCATCATCATCCACGGGGCAGAAAAATGTCTCTGAACCAGGCGATCATGTGTCCCGCCTGGAACCGCTCCTCGCCCAGCCGCCTGTCGTTGGGCTTCATCCGGATGCGGTTCCACGTCTCCGCGATCTTCTGAGGGACCTTGCCCTTCTTCGGCTTGCGCATGAAGTTCATGAGATCGGCGAGGTCGGGGTCCTCGGAGCGGCAAATGGCCCGGAGCTCGAAACGCAGTGTAAACCCCCATGGATGGCGAGGTCTACGTGCGGTCCGCGTGGAGGGCGCCGCTCCGCTGGACACCCCAACAGCCCTCGAAAATTGCGACACTTTCGCAAATCGGAGCTCCCCAGCGATAGCGGGGTCTGATTGAAGTCCGCGTGGTGCATCACTCGGCTGGACCTCCCAGTAGCGCTCGAAAATGACGACAGTTTCGCAAATTCCGGCTCCCGAGCGACGGCGAAGTCGAACTAATCTAGGTCCACGTAGCGCGTCGCTCCTCTGGACCACCCAGCAGCCTTCGAAATTGACGACGGCTTCGCAGATCGTAGCCCCCCAGCCATAGCGAGGTCAAATTTAAGTCCGCGTGGGATTTCACTCCGCGGGGCCACCCAGCAGACCTCGAACCTGGCGACAATATCGCAATTCGCACCCCCCCAGGGACGGAGGGGCCCCGCTCTGATCTGCGCAAGACGTCATTCCTTCGGCCCCCCAGCAGCCTTCGAAAGTGACGACGGTTTCGCAGTTCACAGTCACCCAGGGATGGCGAGGAGCGGGGCAGAAGGCAGGCAGGCGGCAGGGTAGCAGGCAGGTAGGAAGGGGGGAAGAGGGAGGAGGGAGGCGGGAGGAAAGCGTCGCAACCGAAGTGCTCTAATTCAGAACGAGGGCGCAACGCAAAGGAGTTGGGAAACACGGGATGCCGGAGGTCTGGCAGTGCTCGGAGTCCCAGAGCAGTCACGCGGCCCAGGGGCCGTCGAAGACCGACCGCAGATGACCACTGGTCCTGGGGACTCGCCATCGCTCGCCCATTCGGCTTCGCGCGTGTATTTTTCGCAGGGTGAGCAAACATGAGCCTCGATGGTCTTTGCCGGGAAAAATGCGCCCGCCCGAGCGATGCCAACGGGAAGGGGGGGGGTCCCAGGCCTCTCTGGGGACCACGTCGAAACCCGCACGCGACGTCGGAGGCCTGGGCAGGGCGGGCCGCGCACGCGCAGCACCCTGGCGTGACGCGCCGACCTTGAGATCAGGGACCGAGGAGGGAGGATCGAGGATCGAGGATCGAGACGGAGGAGGAGGAGGAGGAGGAGGAGGAGGAGGAGGAGGAGGAGGAGCCCAGCGTACCAGGTCTGTCTGGCAGAGAGGCGGCCGCTAGGGCGCCTCGGGAGGCGGCGAGGGCGCGCCTCGAGTGTTGAAGCTGAAGTGCTGCGCTCCCAGCGACGCGACGTTGGTCGGCGGAGCCGCTTTATAATTCGGGAGGGCAGAGCAATGTCTCGAAACGAGAGGCATGATGTGGTGACGGTGCGAGAGAGGAGCAGGGGAGGCGCAAGCAGCAGCATGGGCAGAGCTCAGGAGCGAAGGACAGGAGGGGGGAGGGCCGAGGAAAACGGCGCCAGGAGAGGCGACGGGCGAAGCTGGAGCCTGGGTGCAGGGCTCGGGGCTGCAAGAGAGCGACGGGGTGGGGTCGGGGAAAGGCTCGGCAGGGAGAGGCGTGGCCAGGGCGGCCATCGGAAGGGCGACGGACGAGCGCGGGGGAAAAGAAACAGCAGGCTGCTCATTTTCCGAAGCACACTCAGAGGGCAACGGTGGGAGCGTCATCGGAGCCGTCGGCGACACTGACGGGGGGCGCATCTGCGGAGAGCGCGTGGAAATCGAAGTTGGGGATCGCGCCGAACGTCGAGCAGCCACCAGATTCCCAGGATTTCGTCCGACACGTGGCGACTGCGAGCCCGAACACGACAACGGGACTTGCGATCTAACGCCGCCGGACCAGCGTCCCGAATCACGGCAACGTTCTTGTGGCGACGGCGAGCCCGAACACGACAACGGGACTTGCATTCTAACGCCACTGGAGAGATGCTCCTCTTCGAGGCAGTGAGCACGTGGCGACGTGTAGCCCGAACACGACAACGGGTCTTGCGATCTAACGCCTGGGCCCAGCAGGGGCGTCCCGAGGCAACCAGCACATGGCGACAGTGAGCCCGAACACGACAACGGGACTTGCGATCTAACGCCGATGGGAGGCGACGAGGCAAGCGAGCCCGAAGACGAAAGCGTCACTGGCGGGGACGGCGACACACAAGCACAGGGCGAAATTGGGGCCGGCGGCGACAATGATGAGCAGGCGGACGCCATCCGTGAAGTTCTCAACGCCGTTGATGGAGAAGGGGCCGCACTCAGAGTTGAAGTGGAGCGCGTCATCGACGGGGGCGCGGAGGAAGGTGGGGTGGAGGTCGCCGAAGCCGAGGGAGAGCACGTAGCTGGCGGCGTCGCTGGAGGCTGAAGTTCATCATCAGCGTCGGAGTCCGACGGGAGCGCGACGATGGCCGTGGAGACGGTGGCCGTGTCGCTGTCCGACGACGAAACGGCAGGGGTGAGCCGTGGAGACGACCCCGAGGATGAAGAAGACGAAGAGCTGCGGATGAGGTAGTCCCGTCGGCCGAGCTGCTCGCGGTCGATCTCCGAGCACTTCAGCGGTGACGCGAGCTGCATCGAACGTACACCAGCGAGAGCGCAGCTGCGGAGGAGGGGCGGGGACAGGGGCCACACGGGCGCCAGCCTCGCTTCGTTGTACATGTTGTAAGCGGCCGCCATCGCCGAGAAGGTGGCCAGCGAGGGCTCAGATAGGCCCCATCTGGTCATCCACGGGAGCGGGAACGGTCTCGCGAGAGCCTGTCGAAGGGCACGGTGCATGACAGGGCATCTCGCGTAGTGTCGCAACGAGTCGAGCTTGCCGAGACATCCAAATACGCAATGCTTCTGCCCGTCAGGTGAGATGATTCGGGCCGAAGTCATCCAGCCATCAGACCAGGTGCGCAGGACGGCCATGGCCCACGAGCGCGGGCAGCGGGCGAGGACGCTCTTGCACACACCCCAGTCGATGTTCGATAGGAGGCCCGCCGACCTGCCAGCGAACTTCCTCAGGCGCAGCACGAAGAGGCCAGTGATAGGCTTGTTCATCATCGCAAAGGCCCGCAGCGCTTCGTGAGCCGCTCTCTGAGGTCGCGGTCGAGATCGGCCGCTCTCACGAAGTTCAGCCAGCGCAGCGTCGGCAGCACGAGCCCCGAAGACGGCCAGTGGGCCAGGAGGAGGGGTGCCCGCGGCAGCCAGCTCCAGGTTCTCCACAAAGGCGGGGGCCAACCAGAAGGACGGGTACGGCTTGCCGGTCGCCAGCATGGACAGGGTGGCATCGTACGGGGCGGAGCTCGCGTGGTTCCGCAGCTGCTGGAGAAGCCTCTCCCAGCCAGGGAACGTGTGCAGCGCAGCCCGCGTGATGGTGGCGACGGCCAGGTGCCCCCACCGCGTGCAGCGCGGGCCTCCCCACTGAGCGATCTGCGTCCAGAAGTCGAGGGCGAAAGTGCCGAGCGGGATGCGGGACACCTGCGCGAGCGTCGACAACTCAGGCTGCAGCGCTGACGATGGCGGCCAGCAGAATTGAGCAACGTAAGATATGGTCGTGACTGCCCGAGTATTGTACAGTGTAGCGGAAAGGCTGGCGGGAGTGGTTCCCCGCCCGATGGCTTGGGCCCTGAGGCACAATTTGGCGACGGGGTCAATCCAAGAAGTGGACGGAACAACAGCAGGCCCCAGCCAGAGGCCCAGGTAGAGCAGCTTGGGAGCCACCTCGAACGAGCTCCACTCGGGGACCAGATGGGAGACCCAGTAGGAGACTGTGGCGGAGAGGTTGGGCGAGAACCTGTCAGACAGCGGGACAATCTTGCATTTCGAGACCTTCAGGGCGAGGTTGGCCATGTCCGAGGCCATCTTCATAACCCGATATACATGAACTAGGTGCCGTATGGCCAATAACGTGCCCCCAATGTCATCAGCACAGGCCCGAACCAGGCCAAGGCCAGCGGCCTCCACCCGAGAGGCCAGGTCGACCAAGAAGACAGCCGTACTCAACGCATAGAGAGTGCCCGATAAGGCACAACCTTGGATGATGCCGCTCTGGATCCAGTAGATGTGCACTAGCGAGCCTAGGTGCGAGACAACCCCTTCCACCGATGCATATAGGAACGTGACGAAGGACACGAATGCCTCAGTGCTTTGATTTCGGTTTATGTGGTTTTAGTCCTCCCGGAGTGAGGGCGTTTCGTTGTTGTGCATTATCGAGGTCCCTTTCGATTTTATTATCGTTTATATTCTTTTTCGTATTTATTTTGTTAGGTTTTCTTTAGCCGTTTTTCGTGGTTTTCTTTATTCTCTTTTTGGTGTTCCCTTTCTTTAACATTTTTTTTTTGATCTGGCTTTACTCTTCTCTCCTATTAACTTTCTTTACTTTCTCGTGGGCCTTTGTTTCGTGGTCCTTTTTATGTTTGATGTGTACGAGGGCCCTAAGGGAGAGAATGAGGAAGTCCTGATTCAGGGACGGGAAGGCCTGGCCGAAGTCCAAGGAATACAGCACAGGGATATCGGTAGACCCGTGAGGCACGACCGACATCTGACGGGACGACACGTCGAGCTCGAGGATGTTGTTGCCGAAATTCCCACCCGGAATGAATACACGCTGGCACGGCGGGGCGAGAGATACCAGGGCGGGTCGGATCGCCCGATTGACAGTGGACGAGATGAGCTTCAGGTCACAGTTCCTGAGGCCCAAGACCCGAACCTTGTCTGGGGAGCGGGAGCAGCTGGCATCGCGGAGCTCCAGGTCCGTGACGTTTTTGGGCAGAAAAATCTGGATCGTGTCACTAGTATTCGCAAACAGCTCCTGGCCCCGGAGAACCCAGCCAAGAGCGTCCCATAATATGTCAGCCCCCCACGAGGACGCCGCCCACGCAGCATACGGGAGAGCATCAGGCCCAGGTGCAGAGTGTTGGGCAGAACGAATCGCACGCCGTAGCATATTTTTCGACGGCGGGGGGAGGTGTAGGTCGGCAGGAAGGTCAGGGGCAAGGCGGCGTAGGTAGGGAGCAGCAGCAGCGGCGTCCCACGGCTTTTTCTGGAAGACAGGGGCCCAGTGCTCCGAGAGCACCCGCAGTCGATCAGATGGGAGGCTGACCGCCGAGCCATCAGGCGCACTAGCCGCTGAGAGCGATATCCTTCGGTTGAGAGGGGACCAGAGACGAGCGCGCCGTTCAAGTGCGCGGACCTGGGCACGAATCTGGACGCGGTCACCTTCACGCCGTCTGCGATCTTCAAGTTCAGCCTTCGCGGACTCAGCAGCCTCAGTCTGGACCTGGTCGACCCAAGCCTGGAAGGACGGCGGGTGGCGGATCTCGACCTTCCCGTCAGTAATCGATATCATGTCAATGGCCAGGGGGTGGGAGTCCTGGAGCCTGGAAGCCATGCGCAGGTCTTGCCTCCAAACCACACGGGCGAGAGCACGAGCGAGCAGGAGGCAGGTGTGCGGGTGATGTGGCCTGTCTCGAAAGAGGGCGTCCCTGGTCTCCGCGGCCGAAATCTTCAAAAGCTCCTTGTACTTTTCAACCTTGAACGGGGGCGACATGGAGTCCCACGGGATGCAGGAGCACAGCCCCTCCAGGCGACGCTTGAAACCAGGCTCCGAGAACAGGTGTTTGGGTATGGGGCGGGACTCCACTGGACGAGGCGGGCGGCAGGCAAGCGAGAGAACAACAGCAGCATGGTCAGAGATCTTTTTGTCAAAGACAGCCGCCGGCGAGCCAAGCGTGCCAATCTGGACAAACAGCTGGCAGAGCTGCCAGCCCGTGATCGAGCAGAAGACGCGGTCGATCGTCGCGCACGAGTCGTTGAACTTCTCGTAGTGCGTGGGGTCCTCGCACGCAATCTCGGTCAGGAGGGCGAGGGCCTGGCGCCACTTGGGCGCCTGCACGCGGTGGCACTTCGACAGCTCGCGCACGGCCGCCGCGGGGGCAGCGAGCGCGAGAGCCTCGTGCGTGGCAAAATTGAAGTCCCCGAGGACAAAGGTGGTGTACATGTCGGGGTCGAGGGCGGCAGCACGTTGCGATACTCGTATCGCAGCAGCCACTTCACGAACTTGCTGGGCGGACAGACCATGATTGTGAATGTTGAATATGTCGAGCGCGCGGCAGTCATCCCAAACACGGACTAGCATCACTCGGCCAGGAACCAGGACAGTGGATGATGACGACGGAGCGGAGAGGCCCTGACAAGCCAACGGCGGAAGCACCACAGCAACCCCACCCCGCCGATGCCCGTCATCTGCGTCAGAGATGAAGCTGGAGTGGATCGTGAGGCCCGACGCAATCGATCGGAAGAACGAGTCAAGCTGGAAGTGGTCCTGGTGCACCTCCTGCAGCGCGATGACCGTGGATAGGGGACGAAGACTGAGAACATACTTTCTCTTCAGAATGGCCTTATCCCCGCCAGCCTGAAGAAGAGCCCGAGAATTCCAAGTAGCGATCCGAAACGTAGGCGCCGCTGACCCAGGCGGCGGGGGAGGAAGATGAAATAGTCCAGCAGCGCTAAAGACACCACTGGCTGGGGTCGGACGGGTGCGTGAGCTCCTTGACAGCATTGCGAAGCGTGTCGATAGCCATGGCGTGCTTGGCAAGCTGCGCAGAGTCCCAGTAGATCTTGGGCGGGGTGTCGCCATGGAAGACGTTGACGTGCATGATCTTGTCCCACCCAATGGAGAGGGCGCCATGCTCGCGGTCGGAGTAGAATCGCTTGCCTGGGTACTGCAGCTCGATGATCGCCCTGGCCTTGCGGAGGGTGACCTCGGTCTTGATGCGCTTGGGCGACTTGTCGGGGCCCAGGTGCAGACGGCAGCGCTCGGCGCCTGGAGGGTCGACCCAGAACTCTTTCCAGCCATCGGGTCCCTTGAGGAGCGAGGTGGCCTTGCTGGCACGGCGCGAGGCGATGGTGGCCGAGCCCGAGAAGCAGATCTCGAACCTCCTGGCCGGGGACTCGCCTTTCTGCTTGATTTCATACTGTTCATCATCAAAGCCAATCTCGCCGAGCCACGGGCGTAGCGATGAGACCACTGACGCCAAGGTAGTCGGTCGCTGTGAGACGGCAACAACGATCGTGGTGTCCTCCTCGCGGTCGAAGGAGGTGGGAGCAGCCAGCTGCTTCCTGGGAGTCTGTTCAGCGATGGCCATCTGGCGACGAAGCTCCGCCAGCTGGTCTTGAAGATCCTGGATGGACTTGTCATGCTCGTCAGCTCTGCCCTCCAGCGCGTCGATGCTGCGTTTCTGCTCGTCGAGCTGGGCTTGGAGGCGTCTGTTGAGCGAGTCGAGTCTGGGGGCGATCGCCGATTGAACTTGGCTCTCGATGGCACTGGATTGTTTTGCCACCTCGCCCTGCATGGATGACAGCATCTTGAGCAACGTGTTGTGGTTGGAGGTGATGGTCTTGGCAACCGACTCTGACACCTCGGTGGTGATGGTGTCTCGCATTGAGGCAAACTCCTCTCTACACAGTTGCCGAAGAAAGTCACCATCATCATCGTCATCATCGTGAGGAGAAGGTACAGGAGCACCGACAGAGGACGAAGCGAGGGCCTGGCGCTTGCGCTGGGTGAAGCGGCCCGTGCCCTGGCCTTTGCCCGAGCGCTCGCCGTCGGGGAAGGTGGGCATCTCGTCGAGCTCTGCGAGCATCTGGCGCTCCTGGGTACTCGCATGCGCGGCAGGGACTGCATCAGCCATGAGACGCACTGGAGGTGGGGGTGTCCGCCAGCCTTTGACAGCTGGGTGGCCCTGGAAGAAGGGCTGCCACACTCAAAACGGGCCTGTCCCGATCTTGAGCCAAAATGGCGACGGCAGGAGGAGGAGGAGGAGGAGGAGGAGGAGGAGGAGCGCCCGCAAATGGCGGGTCAGATGGTTCACTGGCCTCGGCGCCGGCGGGGCCTGTCAGAAGTGGTAACTATTGGACTTGTCGGCGGTGGCACCCTGACCCGGTGGGCCGCTACCCTCGCAGCTGTGACCGCAGCGTCTGGCGATTGCGTGTGTGCACCCAGACGGTGTCGAAGAATGTTGTGGATGTGGTAGAGGCGCTCTCATCGTGCTACAGGGTGCGGCAGGTTGTCCTCATCTTCGGCGTTCTGGCGTGCTGTTTCTTCGCCAAGCCCCAGCATGTGTAGCACATCAGAGGGTGAGGAGGAGGAGGAGGAGGAGGAGGAGGAGGAGGAGGAGGAGGAGGAGGAGGAGGAGGAGGAGGAGGAGGAGGAGGAGAGGAGGAGCGAGGTTGGGGGAGGAGGAGGAGGGACGGAGAAGGAGGAGAATGAGAGGGAGGAGGAGAAGAGGAGGAGGAGGAGGAGGTGGTGGAGGAGGAGGAGGAGGAGGAGGAGGTGGAGGAGGTGGAGGGGGAGAGGACGAGGACGAGGAGAGGAGGAAGAGGAGGAGGAGGAGGAGGAAGAGGAGGAGGAACGAGAGGGGAGGCAGCCGTGGCCAGGCTGCCGCGCCGCCCCCCTTCTGGCACGTCTGCCGTGGCCCGCGGTCTACCTCTGGCCTCCTGCCAGGTTTCGGCGGAGAGCGATGGGAGGAGGAAGAGAAGGAGGAGGAGGAGGAGGAGGAGGAGGAGGAGGAGGAGGAGGAGGAGGAGGAGGAGGAGGAGAGGAGCAGGAGGACAAGCAAGGGAAGGTTGATGATGTTGCTGATGATGATGATGATGATGATGATGATGAGGAGGGGTAGGATGAGGGAAGGAGGACGAGGAGGGATCGAGAGAAGGAGGAGAGTGTGGAGGAGGAGGAGGAGGAGGAGGAGGAGGAGGAGGAGGAGGAGCACGACGACGACGAGGACGAGGAGGAGGAAGAGAAGGATCGAGGAGGAGGAGGAGTAGGAACAGGACGAGGACGAGTAGTGGGAGGAGGAGAACGAGAACGAGGAGGAGGAGGAGGAGGAGGAGGAGGAGGATCGAGGAGCTCCCCCCTGCCCCTCTGGGTGCGAGGCGCGGGAGAAGCGCGCCGCAGGCGCTGCAGGAGAGAGGCCCTGGCCTCCGAGCGCGAGCTCCAGCGGCCCCGGCGCGAGCGACACCGCCGCGAGCAGGCAGAGGAAGGGCGCGCCGATCACCTCCGCCAAGGGACGCGGCTGTTATGGACTGGTGTCTTTCCCCCCCACACTTCCTCCTCCTCCTCCCCGTCCTTCTCCTCGTCTACCTCCTCCTCCTCCTCCTCCTCCTCCTCCTCCTCCTGCTCCCCTCCTTCTCCCCCTCCTCCTCCTCCCCCTCCTCCTTCCCCCCCTCCTCCTCCTCCGCTCTGGTGCGAGAAGGAAGCGGAGGGGGAGTAGGAGAGGGAGGAGGAGGAGGAGGAGGAGGAGGAGGAGGAGGAGGAGCAGGAGGAGAAAAAAAATGAGGAGAAGGAGGAGGAGGAGCAGGAGGAGGAGGAAGAGGAGGAGGAGGAGGAGGAAGAAAATGATGACGATGATGATGCTGCTGATGATGATGGTGGTGGTGATGATGATGCTGATGCTGATGCTGATGCTGATGCTGATGCTGATGATGATGATGATGATGATGGTGATGATGATGATGATGACGATGCTGAGTATGACGATGGTGATGATGATAAGATGATGCTGCTGCTGATAATGATGATGACGATGATGATGGTGGTGATGGTGATGATGCTGCTGATGATGATAATGCTGATACTGATGCTGAAGATTATGCTGCTGATGATAATAATGATGATGAGGAGGAGGAGGACGAGGACGAGGAGGGTGCGGAAAGGGGGGCTGGGGGAGGAGGCGGAAGTTCGACGCGCGTTCCTCACGCCCGCGAAGGCCTTTGGGGGAGCCCCTGCATCCGCTCGTTGCGGAAGAAATCATGACTGAGCATTGCTTAGCCGATCCCTCTCCCCACGGCCATGGCCCGTGGCCTGGGCCCCGCTGGTCGACTTTCCTCCCTAGATGGACATGCAGGATCTTCCCTTCGGGTTTCGAGGGGCACATCCCCAGGTGGGGTGGTGGGATGGGGACGGGAAGAGGGACAGGGATAGGGAACAGGGATTCGGGAGCGGCCAAGAAAGGGGTGTCCAAGAGGGGGGGGGTGCAAATCATGACCAGCGGCGTGTGCGCGGCCCAGCGGGGGGGGCCGAGGGACGTGATGACAGAAGAGAAGGCGCCATGAAATCAAGGGAAATAGCATGACGAGACGATCTGTTTTCTAGCGGCTATTGCTTCTGTGTAACTTACTCTGGCAGTCTCAGCGCCGCCTGGACTGCCGACAGGAGTCTGACGAGCAAGGTGCAACTGCACCCAGGCTGGCAAGCGTGCACGTCAGACACAAACTGCTCCACTCCCTGTGACCAAGGGCGGCACGAGGGCGGGTGATGAAGAAAAGCGAGGCTTGAGCACAAACGGTTGCGCATACAGCGCTGCAAGAGGACTGGCACGCTGAGACGGTTTCCGTTTAGGTGGACATGGAGGGGTAATCAGGGCCCGACACTCGAAAAACCTCAGCACGTCATTATCGTGCTACGCACACCCATGACGAGACGATCTGTTTTCTAGCGGCTATTGCTTCTGTGTAACTTACTCTGGCAGTCTCAGCGCCGCCTGGACTGCCGACAGGAGTCTGACGAGCAAGGTGCAACTGTACCCAGGCTGGCAAGCGTGCACGTCAGACACAAACTGCTCCACTCCCCAATTCTGTCCCAAAGCTGGCGTGGGCCAGTTCACACATTTAGATAGAGGGACCTTATGGGGGCTAAAAGGGCAGCCGCGAGCGAGCGAGCGAAAGCGACGGGCATTTCAAAACTGTTCAAACTCAGAGGGCCTGGGTGCCTTCTGGTTCGAGGTCCCTGGATCCGCAGCCCGTCGAGATCTGGCGGCCGCTCGCATGACTCGTTGGACGTGCGACGTGTGACGAGGGCTGAATCCTGACTCAACCAAAACGCCTAGGAGACGCTCACGCTGGAGATCGCACACTAGGGATCTGGCGAACAATGCGTCGGGGCGCTCGTCATATAAGCATCTGACTTTAAAACCTGACGCGCGAAGCGGCCGCCCGATC